GCCCTCGCTCTCATCCCCTTGTTGATGTCCCTTCTCCCACAGGCAATGCAGGTAATACTTCTTAGTTTGTTAAACATATTGATGTACCTGTTATTAGTACTGATGAGATTACCTGTACTGAGGTAGTTACTTTACCTGATGAGACATTATCAATGGAGGATGATGATTTAGGGGCGTCATTATCCGCGACGTGATTGTCGTCTAATTGTTTGTTATGGTTGGACCGCTAGGACTTTATATCCGATCTCTACTTATGTTTCTTGTGATACTCTATCTCCAACATTTCAAGCTTATAGTATGACCTTATCAGCTACGCCAGTTCCTCATTTTGTTTTAGAGGCTATGCGGGTTCTTGCCATACAGACAGAGATGGACGCTCTTGAGTATAATTATATGTGGGATCTTGTCTCTTCACCATCAGGGGTGAAGCCTGTTGGTTGTTGCTGGGTTTACACCTTGAAGTTTCTTGCGGAATGTACTATTGATCATCACAAGGCTAAGCTTGTGGCGAAGGGCTTTACTTAGGTGCTAGGTCGTGATTTGGTGCTACCTTTGCCCCTATGACAAAATTGACTATTGTTTGATTGATTATTTCTCTGGTTGTGGAGTACTCTTGGCCTCTTTATTAGTTGGATGTGAAGAATGCATTTCTTCACGATGATTTAGATGAGATTATTTATATGAATGGACCATCAGGCTTTCGTGGTGAAGGGGAGTATGCTGGAAAGGTATGTCAACTGCGTAAGTCTCTTTATGGACTGAAACAGCCACCACGAGTCTGGCTCTCTCACTTTAGTGGTGTAGTTGTACAGTTAGGGTTCACCAGATGTCATTATGATCATACATGTTTCATCTGATAGAATACTTTTTGACAGTGTGTCATCCTGTTGGTATATGTTGATGATATTATTATTACTAGAAATGATATTTCTGGAACTGCGCAGGTCAAGGTAGACCTTGGAAAGACCTTCAACGTGAAGGACCTTGGATTTCTGCAATACTTTCTTCGGATTGAAGTTGCTCATAGCATGGGGGGGTATTGTTTTTTCTCAGAGAAAGTATATTCTGGATCTTCTCTCAGACATTGGGATCTGGAGTGCAAACCGACATCACCCATGATTCCAAACCTGCAGCTTACTACTGAAGGTAAGGAGTTGAGAGATCCGACTGTCTATCAGAAGTTGATAGGTAGACTTATCTACCTAGCCAACACTAGACCAGATATTTCATTTGTTGTTAGCCAAGTTAGTCAATTCATGCACAGACCATGTCAGCCTCATCTTGATGCAGTTTATCATATTCTTCGGTACCTCAAGTCTTGTCCTGGACTTGAGTTGTTCTATGCATTAGGATCTCAGACTGGCTCTCCAGCCTGTTATTCAGATTCAGATTATTGGGGAGTATGTGACGGTCGATATATTACGGGCTTCTGTGCTTTTCAAGGGACTCATCTTATCTCGTAGAAGAGCAAGAAGCAATCAATTATCTCTCGCTCGTCAGCAGAGGCAGAGCATCGGACACTAGCACTTGGCACATGTGAGATTATCTAACTACGATCGATTCTTGATGAGTTGGGATTTCTAGTGACCTCCTCATTTATATTATATTGAGATAATCGATCTGCTATTCCGCTTGCTTCTGACTTTGTATTGCATAAGAAGATGAAATATATAGAGATCGATGTTTATTTTCTTCGGGAGAAGTTAGCAGTGGTATTGTCACTCCATTGTTTGTGGAGACCAGTGATCAGATTACAGATGTTTTACCAAACCTGTCACTCTATCTATTCTTTGGGATTTCATTGTCAAGCTTGACTTAATTGACATTTCTGCGCCTTGCTTGTGCTAAAATTACATTCCAGAAAAAGTCTCAAGGCTCTCGAGCTCAGAATAAACCCTTTAGGAAACCTAATTACACAAATGGGCTACTTGGATGGTTTTTAAGGTAGTAATTGAATTGAATTTATAAAAGCTTTTCAAACTAAATCCTTAGGTTTTGCTCATGAGACTTAAAAATGTATTATATTCAATCTCATGTTCAATAAATAACACAAATACACACAAGACCCTCTGATTAATTGTGATATTTGCAATGATATTTTCTAAACTCACTCACTCCATGGATTTGTTGAAACTGTTATACATAGGTTTTACTTATTAGTTTGTTACGGGTCAAAGTTCAAATTCTAGATTTAAAATTTATAATCAAATAAAAAATAAGATAATACATTAAACTATTTTGACAAAACCCACTCCATAAATTTACCCACACCCATAAACCAAATATGCCCTTTAGGTTTAGTCAATGTTTCTAATATTTGTGTTGCGATTGTATGCTCGAAAAATGAGTGGTTGCTGTCAAATCACCAACATATTCCCTTTTTGACTTACTTCTTCAGTTGCCTAAAGAAAATAATAATTAAGTGGCAATAGCTGTAGTGAACAGAGGATGACCAATCATTTTGGGGAATTGGATAAGTGAAAACCGTTTGGCATACACACCAACATCATGTTAGGTTTACCAATTATAGGTAGACGCATCTTCGCTTACTAGATTTTGATTGGATATAAATTCCTTTAGTTGGATAAGAAATTTTTTTTAACTTATTATTATGAATTCGTTTAAAAGTAAATTAGAAAGAGTATACATTGATGAATATAATTATGATAACCACACTCAAAAATTATGATAAATCGTCCTCAATAACTTTTACAATCACACTCAAATCATTATGACAAAAAAGTTCAAGAATTTCAACAAAAAGAACTTTGACTGTGATCACAACTAAGAATTTTGACAAAATGCGCTTAAGAACTCTGGCAGTCATACTCAATAATTTCGAAAAAAATCATTCAAGAACTCCGGCAAAATGAGTTTTGACTATATTCTTTGAAAAACAAAATACAAGTTACAATATAATAAAATTATAATTTAGATCATGTTTTTGAATTTCAAATTCTATTGACAAATGCTGCTGACAGAAGATCTGAGCGTGATTTAAGGGATAGGATTTACAAGAATAAAATCATAGCATTTTATGAATTAGAAAACAAACTTACCGTTTAAATGTTGTTTAAACATTAAGTAAAGTTATTTTGACCTAAAAATTTAACCTAATTTGTAGATCTGATGATTTGTTTTCATTGGAACCATTAGATCAAAAGCAAATTCTAATATTTGATGAAACTCACAGTCAATCTAAAGAGCATAGTTAATCAAGTTAATAAATCATGTCAAATTTTTAGATCTAAATAACATTACTCTTAAACATTATATAAAGGGCATTTTTGAGTTTTCAAAAAATTGTAAACTTAACTATTTATTACTAAGATTAAAATAGGACTAATTCTCAAATAAGTTTGAGTGATAGATTAAATTTATTAAAAGTCCCTAATAGACGACTGAGTTCTAATTTTTACTAGACTTTGAAATGGATTTTTTACATCAAATTTCATTTCGGCCCAATGGAAATTTGATCTTATGACATACCCAATTATTGGGCCCTCTTGTGGAGAAGTAAGGCCCCTTTCCCCTTGCCCCTTGCCCCTTGCCCCATGAAGTTGATCGTCATAATTACTTATTAGGAGAAAGTGAAATTGACAATTTTCATTTTATTTAATCAATGGTTGAAATGGGTCAATCACATAATTATCCATAAATGATTGGACATTGTTCTATTTCTTGATAGCAAGAAGATCAGCATAGTAGTTTTTTTATCCATCCTTCCATGATCTCCACCTCTATCTTTCGTTGCTTGATCAACCACTGTGGATCACTTACCATTGCTGGAAGAATATTCAAGCAATGCGATCCAGCAAGATTTATATTGTATAAGTGAAGATATAATAGTCTTTAAAATAGTCGTTTCCTCTCGTCACTTTGTTCCACATGTTTAATTGTGTTATTTTAGTCCTGATATTTTTTAATTTGAGTCTTAGTGGCCCAATCAAATGACATATGTTTAAATTGGTAATGAAAATTGTAATGCGTCATTTGACTAAATACATTAATGTTTCTTAAAGTATCCAAAAAAATCACTCAATCACTCGATCCCAATTTGGTCAATTCTATCCCTATTGTGCACATGACAAATTTTTTTTTTTTTTTTTTTTTTTTGTGATTTTGAAATTAGAACTAAAAGCAAGTTTTAGGGCCTAAAAATATAGTCATCACTTTCATTATTGTTTAACAATGATAGAAGCATCAAAACAGATAGATTAATATCTTACTCTCTATTACACTTTCACTCAATGGTAGATTACCTATCATAAATTTAAGTGAGACCTAATATTTATGAATAGAACCCTCGCACATACATGATTGATAATCTAATATTGCGTGAAATTAAATGAAAATATAATGAATAGAATTTGATTACAGAATAAATAGCGGGATTATGTTTGTAAATATAGACATTAAAAGATAGATTATTAGAGTTGAGAGCATACCATTAGCGGTGTAGATGGCTAGCAGACTGTGTGATAAGTCTTCTAACACTATGATTAGAAACGATAAAAATAATTAATTGAGGTCAATTAGATTGTACTCCAAATAAAGAAGAAGAAAGAAAGCCAAAATGCCTTTTTCACTTACCTCCACTACTATAAGGGTCTCTCAGGCCATTGGAGATGATGATGTTGCTAGCAAACCTATGCAGAACCAACCTTGTATTCTACCATGTTTCACAAGAAGCATTTATAAGTTCTCAATACAAGTGAAAGTTACATCAATGACAAAGTAATTATAAGGGTAGACACCATAGTTAGTCCCTAAACTTTGCTTTCGATTTGAATTTGGTTCGTGAAATGAATCAAATTGATTTAATCTCCAGTTAATCTAACAAGGAAAATAGATAAAAAAAAAAAAGACTTAATTGAGACGAAATTAATAGTTGAGAGACTAAATTAGGACAATTAAAAATTCAAGGACTAAATTAAAATTAAGGATAAAGTTTAAGGCCCAATTATGATATTTATCGTAATTATAAATTAAATCATAAGTTAAATAAATTCTTCAAAATTTTTGAGGAGATAAATGATAAAGACATACATGACCTCCATAATACGTTGTGACCCAATGGGGCCAAGGCCGAACGCCATACAAGCTTTTGCAATACTCAGCATGATTCTCGAAACTATAAGGTGCTGGGGGGAACATAGTGTCTTTTCTACCACAGCCGATGGATAACACCATTTCACTGCAAGTCTAAATACCAAAATTGTCACTTTTAGCTGAATAGATCAATCATATTTCCAAAAATTGATACAAAATCGCTTATGTATATATATATATATATATAGAGAGAGAGAGAGAGAGAGAGTTAAACAATCATAAGACGGAAAAGTTTAAGAAAGTTAGGGATAACTCAATGTATGAGACTCTGTATTATAGATCAAAATAAAAATGAACAATTACAATTTGACCTTCTTAGTTATGAACTTTGTCTCAACAACTGAGTTTTTCACTTTGTCTCTTTATCTAATTAAAATTTTAAATTAATATCACATTGACCCACAATCAAGCATCATTTATGAATAAAATTGTAGTAAAATCTATGTTTTTAATGCCTAAAATTGGGACAATGTCTATAATTAGAGGTGCAATGTGAAAAATGTGATATTTGAGGGGATTGCGAGACGAATAATCATGGTTAGGGGTGCAATCTATATGTGAAAACATGACATTTGAAAGGGCATTGTGAGATAATGGGCGTAGTTGTGGGGTCAAAATACAATTTGCCCAAATAAAAATAAAAAATCTCACATGTGAGATGAAAATAAATCTATGTAAACCTTACTGGCCATCTCCAACCCACAGATGTTTCACTAGGATGAATGTATTGATTTGTATCATAGCATGACGGGTTCCCTTTATAACCTACAACACCGGCGATTATCCGGCCAAGAATATCACTTCCTTCATAAGCTCCATCGATGCCGCCACAGACCTCCCTCACTGGATATTCCGGTGGATGATTGTATTGAGCAGCTGTAGCATACTTTGATTCTTAGTAGTCCTTGAGCTCAGAAGAATTATTCAAGTGACTGAACAAGAAAAGAACACATATATTATAAGTCAAGGTTGGTTTTATCAACAAAAAAAAAAAGGTGAACAAAAGGACAATTAGTATTGATAATTTGATATTTACCCGCAAGTTTTGAATCTTTTGGTGAGGAGTGAAAGGCCATTGGGCTTGGAAGCGACGATGTCGATTTCAGACCATGATTTTTGTATAGTTTTGTAGCAGTTCTCACTAACTTCCTGTAAACACCATGCCAATTCAGATTAGTCGAAAGGTCTGGGAGAAGAGTTTTAAGTAAGGATCAAAATTTCATTTAAACACATAAATTTGGTGAGTTAAAAAATTGAAATGTTTCGATAATGTTTTAGAAACAACATGAAAACAAAGAAAAAATTTTAAAATTTGTTTCTAAAATATTAGTCAAAACGTGACAAAAATACTTTAAAACATACCGAAATATCACAAAACATAGGAATTTTAATATTCAATTAAAAATGCGCTTCGTTTTCAATTAAAAACGAAAAAATTTCGAACATTTCAAAACAAAATTTAATTCCTTGATGTTAAGCGATAAAATTGTAACGAACTAGAAGGTTGTTTTTTTAATTTTTTTACTTTGAAATCCTTGGTGACAAGGGAATATTATCCGATTTGTGGAGTGAGATCATCGAAGTAAAGAATAGGAGCTGATGAGGCCAACGCACCAAGAGTGATGTGTGGATACTTAAGCCGAAACCATGAAGCAAGTACTGAGAAAGTTCACATAAAGAAAAAAAAAATCAAATTTATATCATTTCATGGAGATTAATACTATGGACTGTGAAAAATTATATTTTGACCCCTTTCACTATAAACTCAATCTCACTTTGCCACTTAAAGTATTGAATTTCTCATATTGTCCTCTTAACTAAGGAAATTTGTTTCACATGGCCCGAAAATAAATGTTTGTTATCTTTTTAGGGTTAATAGTTTTTTTGGTCCTTAAAGTATACAATTTTTGTTAGTTTAGTTCTTCAATTTTGTTAATTTATTTCTTAAAGTATTCAATTCGTGTCACTTTGGTCTCTAATCAGACAATTCATTAAATTTTTTAACAAAAGTGACCACGTGTTATTTTTTAGATGATATCATATGCCCAACATGTGATCAGTAAAAAACTTAATGATCCGTCTATGTAAGGATTAAAATGACACAAATTGAATATTTTAATGACCAAATTAACAACATTGATACAATGAGAACTAAACTAACAAAAAATGCATATTTTAAGAATAAAAAGTGATATTAATCCTCTTTTTTATGAAAAATTTAACATAATTGGGGGACAAAGTGAAATGACTTTTGAAGGGGTTAAATCTCGTGATTACACGTGACACATCATTAAATGTGCTCATGTGATGTTGATAAGACCAGTCACGTGATGAAAGATCTTCTATTAAGAGCTTTCTAACCAAGCCGAGCTAATTACAGATTCAGTAATATATTAGTTATCTTTATGACCGAACTCATCAGTCTGTTCGGTTAAGCAATGAAAGAGCTCGGCTTGTACCAAATCAAGTTCGATAAAGTATTCAACAAGGCAATTGAGAAAATCGGTTTGTGCCAAACCAAGTTCTTTAATTTGTTCGGCGAAAATCAAGTATGCTCGGCATTTGATATGTCCGAGCTGTTTTAGATAAATAGAAGGATAAAGATATGACTATAACTTAGGCAATCAGATAAACGAATCAACAAAATTGTAAATATCAGGAGGAATTATTGGAGAAATGTTAGCAACTTCCCAAACTCAATGACCGAATTGAGGGAAGGTGTGCCACCTTGAACCTAAATTCATGGAAACCCTAAGGGGATAACGATTTATAAAAATCAAAAGGAGCCAAGGTGAAAGGTACGCTGAATTCTCCTAGACTTAACACAATTCTTTCTGTTCCATTACTGACTTAAGTATCGGAGTGCCTTCAATCGAAGCACTTCGATCTTGGGCAATTTGTTCGTTTTGTAGAAAAGAGTTGAGGAGATTGTTTAGACTTCATTCACAGAAATCGTATCACAAATTCACATTCAGAGGTATAACCAATTTTTTGCCCCTACATTTTGGCACTATCTGTGGGAAAGATCATCATCTTTCAGAACAAAAAGCTACGATGTCAAGGCTCGGAAGTGCAATTGGATCACCTATAGGCAGTTTTTCCTTGGAAAATTATGATCCTGCGTCTCATCCTTCTAATAGCAACGCAAGGTTGCATGCAGTCAGAAACCCCTCCAGAATCCGTGAAGATGACGAAGTATCCTCTGTGAGTTTCAAGCCCTCGAAAAATCAGAACCACAGAGCCTGGATCATGGTAAGTCCCTCCGTGCCGAGGGGGAGGACCATTCCTTGGCAAAACTAGTCTAGTCCTTGCAGGATTGACTTGACACCCATGACAAGTTGTTCAAGAAATCCTATGTTAGGGAGAAGGATTTGATCCAAGAAAATGAAGAGTTAAAGGCAAAGTTGAAAGAGGTGACTAGAAGGGAAAAACGGGCGAGAGAAGATTGGCATGAAAGTCCGAGACGGAAGCCTAGCAGAGCTAAAATTGCTGATGAGAAAGATTACTGGCAGAAGAAGCCTTGGATCCAGGAGGAGGATACGTGGAAGCAGTATATCAACGAAGAGCTCAACCTTCACTTGAAGAGACCAAAACAGAGGTCGGCTAGGGACCTAGCCAAAAGAGCAACAGAGAAGTAAGGAGACGGTTTGGAGTCATCCCCATTCACTGCTTGGGTCGAAAAAACACGAATCCCGAGCAAGTTTGTCGTCCCGAACTTCAAGTTGTACAACGAAAAGACCGATCCAGCCTCACATATCAGGCACTTCCGACAACTGATGACCATTCACCGAAGAAACGAGTCATTGCTCTGCACTATTTTCCCTAGCAGTCTAGGGGAGTTTGCCATGAAGTGGTTCGACAGCTTACCGAAAGGAACGATTAATGGGTGATCTCAGTTAGCCGAGCAGTTCACAGCTCGATTCATCACGAGCAGTAAACAACCAAAGGATGTTGGGGCTCTGTTGACACTGAAAAAAAAGAGTAACGAAAGCTTGTGAAAATATGCGCATCGCTATTGGGAAACCATGAATGAAGTTGAAGGGTGCAATCTAGATATTGTAGTTGTATCCTTTAAGATCAGCTTGCCGAAAGAAAAACCTCTATACCAATCGCTCACAAAGAGACCTGCTACTGACCTGGAAGAATTAATGGCCAGGATTAAAAAGTATGCTAAAGTGGATGACGACTTATCTAGAGAAGTGGTTAAGGAACATCCGAGCAGGAGACAGTTTGTAAGGGAAAAACAAGCTGAACCGAACAGAGAGGGAGGAAGGAAGTTTGAGAAGGAGGGATATCCCTAAAGGTCCCCTTCTTTGGGGGTGAATACATTGTTCAAAGAACCAATTTACAAAGTTCTAAGTCATATCAAAGGTAAGTCGTTCTTCAAATGGCCGAACAAGCTAATAGGCGATCCAGCTAAAAGGAACCCAAATTTTAGGTGCTCGTATCACAGAGATATAGGTCATATGACTGAGAATTGCCGATCTCAAAAGCAGCACCTGGAGGAGTTAGTCCAGGCTGAACATCTCACAGAATTCATTGAAAGTGAGCAGAAAACCAAAGGGGGGAGAACCGAACCAAAAGGGGACTCCAACACTCCAACTGGGGTAATTGATGTGATCCATGCCGCCACCAACCCTCAGATGTCTACAAACAACTTTGCTCGGGCTTATATTTAGAAAGCAGCCAAAGAGAGAAAAGTGTACGAGTTGAGAATGACCCCGGAGGTCGCCAACAAATGAATCAAGATATAGGATACAATTGAAGTGATCCGTTTCACCGAGCAGGATTTGGTCGGCATTCACCAACCGCACAATGACGTCTTGGTTGTCCCACTTTGGATTGCCAATTTTGATGTGAGAAGGGTTCTGATTGATCTGGAGAGTTCGTCAGGAATCATGTATATTGATCTGTTCGAGAAGCTCGGCCTCAAGAAAGAGGATCTCAAGCCCTCAAATACTCCACTTATCAGCTTCAGTGGAAAAACGGTTCTCCCAAAGGGAAAAGTCACGTTGCCTGTAAAGACAGGACCAATTTATGTTATGACCGAGTTTCTAGTAGTGGACACAGTCTCGACATACAATGCAATTATGGGGCGTACTTGGCTACACGAAATGAAGGTGGTACCATCAACGTACCATCAAATGTTGAGGTTCCCATCATCTAATGGAGTAGTAAATATTCGAAGAGACCAGGTCAGTTCTAAAACTTACTTGTTGGCATCTGTCAAGTCTAAAGACAAGGCAAAACGCCCATGAAATTGCTCTGTAGAAGAACAGATGAAATAGCAATCAATATTAGACAGCTTGGTTAACCCTGCCAACAAGCTGTCAAAAACAACCCTAAAGTACCTTTAGGCGAAGAGAGGGAGGCTACAAACCGAACAGTTGAAGACTTGACTAGAGTACCTCTAGACAAGGATGCTGACCAGGAAAAGTATTTTTTGTTAGGAATAGCCCTTAGTTCTGAACAAAAGACAGAGCTCGTTACACTGTTGAAAGAATACGCCGATGTATTTGCATGGAATACCAATGACATGCTTGGCGTACCGCCAGAAGTGGGCTGTCATCACTTAAGCAGAGATCCGAGCTTCAAGCCAGTCAAGCAAAAGCTTAGAAGGTCGGCGACACAGCATTAGGAGGCAGTAAAAGAGGAAGTGGCTCGCCTGCTGGAGTCTCAAACAATTAGGGAGGTGAAATATCCAACTGGTTGTTAAACACTGTCGTGGTGAAAAAGAAGAATGGGAAGTGAAAAGTTTGTGTTGACTTCACCGACCTGAACAAAGTATGTCCAAAAGATAGTTTTTCCCTGTCGAAGATAGATCAGTTGGTAGACGCCACAGCCGGGCACGAGCAGATGAGTTTCTTGGATGCCTACAGGGGATATCATCAGATCCCCCTTGCCGAAGAGGATCAAGAAAAGAAAATTTTCATAATACCTGAAGGAACGTACTGTTATAGAGTAATGTCGTCCGGGTTGAAGAAAGCTGGAGCGACATATCAGAGGTTAGTAACCAAAATATTTTTACGTATGATAGGTATTAGTATAGAAGTTTACATTGACGATATGGTAGTTA